TGTTCTGCAACTTCAAAAACCAAGATTGGTCCGATTGACCATCCGAAATCACCCCGAGGCCCCCGGGACCTCACCCAAAAGTGCCAACCCAACCTAAAACATCATTAAAACTCGTTCCAATCATCAAAAGACCACAAACAACACCAAAACCATCAAATTACATCGAATTCAAGCCTAAATTTCTTAAAAACTTCCGAAATACGCATTTGATCAAAAACCCGACCAAGACACCTCCGAATGATTTGAAATTTTGCGCACACATCCAAAATCACCTAACTAAGCTACTGCAACTCTCGGAATTCCATTCCGACCCCCGTATCAAAATTTCACCTACCAACCGGAATTCGCCAAAATACTAACTTCGCCAATTCAAGCCTAATTCTACTCCGGACCTCCAAAATCAATTCCGATCACACTCCTAAGCCACATATCAACCCCCGAAGCTAACCGAATCACCGAAAATCACATCCGAGCTCTCTAACTCAATAGTCAACATCCAGTTGACTTTTCCAAAACAAGCCTTCCTTAAAGAGACTATGTGTCTCATTTCCTATCAAAACCAATCCGATTTAACTCTAACACACCAAATACCGATAATGAAACATGAAGAAGCATAAAATGGGGGAAACATGGCAGTAACTCACGTGACGACGGGCTGGGTCGCCACATCTAATTTTCGAAATTCCATTCCGACCCCGATATCAAGATTTTCACTTCCGACCGGAAAATGCCAAATTTCCAATTTCGCCAATTCACACCTAAATCTACCACGGACCTCCAAACCACATTCCGAACGCACTCTTAAGCCAAAAATAACCTAACGGAGCTATCCGAACCATCAAAATTCACATCCGAGACCTTCTACACATAAGTCAACACCCGGGTGACTTTTTCAACTTAAGTTTACTCAAAAGAGACTAAGTGTATCATTCCTCTCCAAAACCACTCCGAACCCGAATCAACCATACCAATACCACATAATACAACTGAACAACACATAAAGAAGCAGAAATAGGGGAAACGGGGCTGAAATTCATAAAACGATCGGCCGGGCCATTACACTTTTCCCTTAAATTCGAATATTCATGCTTTATAAATGCTTGCAATAGTGAGAAGGTTCAAGATCCGAGAGACGAATTAATCAATTTTATGGAGGATTAAAGGGAAAGTGATTGTTCCAAGCTTGCACAGTCTACCATGCGCTGGATAGTTCATTCGGACGAGGAGAAATTAAAGGAGTTAGCAAAACAAGAATGTCCATAGAATCTGTTGATACCAGTGAGTTTGCAAGGATTTTTTTCTGGCATAAAAGAGATTCTAGAAGATTTTATTTTTTTAGATATCTATGAGATACATTTGTAGACATCGAATTTTTAATGGATCAAGCTAAATCCTAAATTCAAGATACTACAAGACCTCTTGAAATTCTAGGAGTCTGTCAGTGTTGTTTGGAGACTACTCTACCAAAACCCAGCATTGGAGGCTACTCTATCCTAACCCTAGGTCATTCCTATAAAAAAGTATTACATATTCTCTTAAAAAGACATCTCAAAAAAATGGAGATCATCTCGAAAATCCCATAAACTCATGGGATATTCACAAAGAGATCAAGATGCGGCCGGATAAACATAATTTCATGGAGATCAAATACATCCCATGAAGGTTTGCATCATCCTACATTCGAGAAATACGCAACTTCAGTCCTCGAATCACGGAGATAATCATGAGAGAAGAATCAAGGGAGAAACAGAATTGTACTCACAATTGATTAGTACAAATATTTTTTCTCTTATTTTATAATTGCATTTATTTTTCATATGTCGAAAATCAGTTGCAAATAAATTGGCACGCCCAGTGGGACTAGTTCTGCCCTTCATCTCTTCCTCCTTCAAATCGAAACTACAAGCTTCAAAAATTTCTGTTGTGATCGGGTACTTCAAGTCTCGCCTTCAAGTTTCGCAACCTACACCCCGACAAACCTTGAAGTAAGAGGCATTTGTAAACATCGAAATTTTAATGGATCAAGCTAAATCCTAAATTCAAGATACTACAAGACCTCTGTAAATTCTAGGAGTCTGTCAGTGTTGTTTGGAGGCTACTCTACCAAAACCCAGCATTGAAGGCTACTCTATCCTAACTCTAGGTTATTCTTATAAAAAAAGGGTTACATATTCTCTTAAAAATGCATCTAAAAAAATGGATATCATCTCGAAAATCCCATAAACTCATGTGATATTCACAAAGAGATCAAGATGCGGCCGGATAGACATAATTTCATGGAGATCAAATACATCCCATGAAGGTTTGCATCATCCTACATTCGATAAATGCGCAGCTTCAACCCTCGAATCACAGAGATAATCATGAGAGAAGAATCAAGGGAGAAACAGAATTGTACTCACAATTGATTAGTACAAATATTTTTTCTCTTATTTTATGATTGCAATTTATTTTTTATATGTCGAAAATTAGTTGCAAACAAACTGGCAAGCCCAGTGGGATCAGTTCTGCCCTTCATCTCTTCCTCCTTCAAATCGAAACTACAAGCTTCAAAAATTTCTGTTGTGATCGGGTACTTCAAGTCTCGCCTTCAAGTTTCTCAATCCTACACTCCGACTAACCTTGAAGTAAGGGGCATTTGTAAACATCAAAATTTTAATGGATCAAGCTAAATCCTAAATTCAAGATACTACAAGACCTCTGTAAATTCTAGGAGTCTGTAAATGTTATTTGGAGGCTACTCTACCAAAACCCAGCATTGGAGGCTACTATCCTAACCCTAGGTCATTCTTATAAAAAAGGGTTACATATTCTCTTAAAAATGCATCTCAAAAAAATGGAGATCATCTCGAAAATCCCATAAACTCATGGGTATTCACAAAGAGATCAAGATGCGGCCGAATAGACATAATTTCATGGAGATCAAATACATCCCATGAAGGTTTGCATCATCCTACATTCGAGAAATGCGCAGCTTCAACCCTCGAATCACGGAGATAATCATGATAGAGGAATCAAGGGAGAAACAGAATTGTACTCACAATTGATTAGTGTAAATATTTTTTATCTTATTTTATGATTGTAGTTTATTTTTTATATGTCGAAAATTAGTTGCAAACAACATTATTTACACATCATGCAGTTTGATAGAGCTGCACGAACAAGAAAACTGATATTTGGCCGCAGAAGCGACACTCTAGTCGAAAACAAATTCAATCACTTATTAGGTGCTGGCCTTTCAAATCTTGTGTATGGATATCTTTGTGAAATTATGTGTCAATGTATTATTGTATGACCCAGTTGGTCGGATTAAGTGGGTCGAAATAAGACCCATTTTTTGTTTCAGCCGAGATTGCCACGTGGCCCTGTAAGAAACTGTCACGTCACTAAATTGAACGCCCTCAAATTCTACCATTAGATGCGGGGGCAATTTTATTAATATAATTAACGTCGTGTGCTTTTTTGGACGGATAGATGAACGGAGGATATTTGTAAATAATTTAGCAAACGATAGGAGTAGTTTAGGCTCTTTTCCGTTTTTTTTTCTCATGCTCCAATTGGACTTCACCTCTGCGGCAAGGGCAATTCTTTAGTCGTTGGTTTCATGGGATAATGAAAAATGATTCCAAGATAAAATGGGGAATTATTTAATCTCATATTTGGTTGAATTCATATTTTTGGTATAACAATCTTGGAATTAGTTATATCATAATTTGGATATTGTTTTTATACCATATTTAATATGGGATAAAACAATCAAATGGCAAAATTGACATTCTTCAAAGCTCTTTCTCCCAAAGTTTTTTAAGAATGTCAAATTTAAAACAAGAAATAAAAGTTTATCAACATTTATCTATTATAAAATCAGACACATTTTTTTGTATTATATCTTCTTTATATCATTTTTAATCTAACATCTGCAAAAAAAAAAAAAAAAAAAAAAAAAAAAAAAAAAAAAAAAAACTATTAGATAATCTTGTTATTACTTAATCCCTATATTATAATTCCCCAAAAATTATAACAATTGACACCTGAACTTATTTCTTTTAACACTTTAGAGCCTTGGACTTGAGTAGAGTTGTTCCCTACCAATACTGATGAAAGATAGCAAATATCTTGTGAAATAGTCAAGGCACAAACAAACTAACTCGAATATTAAAAACTAAAACTTATTTCTTTTAGTGCATAATTAGGTGCAAGAAAGTTTTTCTCGGTTACTAGGGACATAAGTTTCTCACTGTTTTCTAGTAGAAATGTTTGATATTTATGCTAAAAAAGAATTTAGTACTAGCTGCAAAACAATGAGGACAAAGTTTAGCAAAAGTTTAGATACTGTCAATATTATATTCTTTCATCACAATCGTATTTCTTAATTTAAGCAGAGTAATGTACATTTAAAGTTCAATGGGATGAATAGAATATCTTGGCCTTAATTAAAATTTTTAAATTTGATCCTTAAAAGAGAAAAAACTGGTAGGGAATGCTTCTGGTCATAAAGCTTAGGTGAATGTAAATTAGCCGGGCTTCTAGATACCATATTTTAAAAATGGACATTTCTCTTAAATATGAGGGGCAAATTGATATATTCTAAATTTTTAAGGGTCAATTCCCATTTAACGCCATAACTTTGTCACTCAAAAAGCCGACATTGGGCTTCAAGAACCCAACTGCCAAAGATCATTTTTTTTTTTTGACAAACAAGAATCACCGACGATATACACCATGGTTTGTGCTTAGTACTTTCCTTAGTTCCCCCTTTCAATTTTTTCAATTGTCATACCCAATTTGCATTCTTGAATTTTCTTATCCATGTTGATGTGCGTGTGTGTGTGTGTGTTTCAATATAGGTGTATGTCGTAATTCCATCACCATTCTGCTTCTTATATATCTAGTTGATTTCTGTCTACTGCTTTTCCTCTCTATAATTCTGGAAATGCTCACCCGGGGGTGTGGGTGTGGGTGGTGGTGGTGGTGGTGGTGGGGAATTAATTCTTATTAACTGTTTAAGTTCTATCCACTATTAATGTCAGAAATATTTACAGGTCACTTATTAGGTAATTACATGTAAATCCCTTAATAAGCATTAATTATTTATCTGGTAAAATAGTAACTAAACTGCTGTCACAAATTAAAATTCACTGATAATGTAAAAGAATTTTTATTCTTTCACTGCATATAATTTAAATCCGAGCCGTATGAATACTGACATTGGGATAGATCAGAGTGTATACAAAAGATAGTAGACCCCAAATTTTTCGGGAGTGTGCTGTAGTTGATTGATTGGACTACGTGGAGAAATTGTTCATATGATTGTAGTTTGAGCCTTAAAATTTAACATTATATTGCCATGAGGTTTAAAGATATTGGGTTTAACTTGTAAGAAATCTTCTTCTACATATATTTTAACTGAGAAAAACTGCCCTAAATTGCACTGTGTTATTATGTATTCGTGGGTTACTTTCCGCTCAAAACACTCGTTAACTTGGTGCTATTAGGTAAATATGTTGCTCCAATGCCATTTGGGTTTCCAAAATTTGGTGGTTACTCTGGAATAAGATGATCATTCATGTTCTTCTGTTAGCCATCAAATGGTGTTTGATCAAAGAGTTTGTGTGAATTGTAACCTCTGTTTGGTTTTATTTTGACAACTAGTGCATTTTCCTTATGAGCTTTGCTCCTTGACATTCTTTTTGGGGTTGACGGAGGGAATTTAGCTGAGAAGTGTTAGTAGAATTTATGCATAAATATGTTATGATTAGATGAATTTTTGAGCTTAGAGTTAAACACTGATTGGACCCTTACCAGTTAGGTTGTGTTAACCGAGGTCCAGTGTTATCAAAGGCGCGCTTAAAGCGTGCTTAAGCCCTGAAGCGAGGCTCAAAACATATTGAGCGCTTTGCCTCGCTTAGTGGGCGCTTCAACATTGTCATCAAAGCTCTAAGACATACTTTTCCTTGCCAACGAGCGTAATCCTGAAGAGGCCATACTAAACCATTGATATTTCACTTATTGTAATTTTTCTTCAATTTCTTAGTCCATATATTTGGTATTCATGCTTATAGATATTAGTTTTGGACTACACATACATATTTGTAATTTTTCTCCATTTGATCCTTTCTTCGTTAAGCCCATGCTTTATTTGCGCTTTGCACTTAAAGCTCCAACATATGTTAGAGCTTTTTTGCGCTTTTCGCCTTTAATAACACTGCCGTGGTCGATTGGATCTTCCATTGCTTACTTTTCTGGATTAAAGAAAGATCGGAGAGCTTCATTTCCTTCTGTAGACAAATTTAAGTTTTTATTACAAGATTAGTAGAGGTGCTTATTTCTTGTTTATGATCACTATGTAAATCTTGCCGAGCAACTATGAAAGACATGCGCGCAATGGTTTATATAATAAATACGGCATTGAGCTATATTGGCAAATCTTCACAAAGCCGAACTCTATTGGTAGGTACGCAGGAAGGACATATAAAAAGTTGACTGTTTATTTGTGTTATCAGACTAAAAAACGATGGAAATATGCAAATCAACATGGATATAAACCTTGAAAAGAAAAACCAATGAACTAAATGGATCTAGATAATAGCATATAAACCTAAATACTATTAGAAACACTACTGAGTACTATAATATATGTAATTATGTATGTGTATATGAACTTATAGAAGCATAGGTAAGTGATGAGAAAAGAGAATGTGATGCTGATGGATTGTTAAATCAATTTGGTTCTTTAATTTCTTTCTGTCTATGCAGGCAATGTATATCCGTGTCAAGCGTAATAGGACCACCTACTTTATTCAATGTGACCCAACCGAGACAATTCTACAAATAAAGGAGAAATTGTATAACCTCGTAGATCAACCTGTTAATGATCAGCGATTAATCCTGATGCCTGCTGGAGACGTATTGGAAGACTCGAAGTCCCTAGCTGATCAGAAGGTAAATTGTCCATCTTTATCATCATCCTTTTTCAACATATCGTATGATCTATTGGTAACACTAGAAAATATTATATCATCTGGAGTAGTACTTTGGATAATCAGCAGATTTTCAGTCTATCTTTATTGATTGTAGACATACAGATACATATTCTGTCCAACTTTCCCTTTTAGGTTGTTCCAAAACTGGTGTCCACATTCTTGAAAAGAATTTTTTTCCTTGAGACTTCGTCAATACTCTTTTTAATATTATATTAACAGAAAACGTTATACGGGAGCTCTTTTAAGGGATATCTTTGAGGAATAGCCTCAACCTGCATCTATTTTAGGTTAAGAAAAATTCTTACTTTTATACCTATACTGAATCAAAATATGACATCTAAAATGTGATGGAGAGAGTCATCTGAGTATATACTGATAACAAGAAAGAAGTTCATGAGGTTCATGAAATATTTTTCTCAAGCAAATAATTCCATACTTCTTTATTTAATCTAAGCTTATGCATTCTTTGTTATTTCTTTAATGTTTTTGAACACTTTTCAGGTCGAAAATGACGCTGTGGTGGCGCTTACTCTGAGAAAAGGTTCTCTTCCCTTTGCATTCTTTTCCCAGTTTTAGGAGAAATTTTTATAGTTTATTAGCTGATAATTTTGTTTTCCCAGTTTTGGGTTCTTTCTTTCCAGAGGAGAGCATCTGATGCATATAACAATGGTTTTCCTTCACTAAAGTGCTCCTCTTTCTTGTCCTTTGCCGCCTCTTAAACAACATGTGCAGCTTCCTGTTTGTCCTGCTTATTCACTTTTTCATGGTCTCACTTTAGTTTGAAGGGGGGGGGGGGGG